TTTTTTTGGCCAACAATTTAAATTTGGCGCCAGACTCTAAAATGTCATCTACAAAACGACAAAAAATATGTGATATATCGATAGCTTGTACAGTAAAATAGCGTGAGCTTAGAAGCGACTTTCCTCATTCAATCCATTGCCTAAATATCATTTTAAAATTTTTCGATTTTTTCCTAGGGGTACCCCTACAAAATTTTGGGTTTTCCCAATATCCCCATTTTTGCTCCTTCCGATGGCCATAGCTCTGCCAAATTGTATCCGATCAGGAAACAAAGTACCATTCAGTAATCAGCGAACCCAGAAGCAACTTTCCTCATTCAAAACATTGCTTGAATATCGTTTTCAAAATTTTCGAATTTTTTCCAAGGGGCTCCCCTATAAAATTGTGGGTTTTCCTAATTTCCGTACTTTTGCCCCTTCCGATGGCCATAGATCTGCCAATTTGTATTCGATCAGGAAATAAAGTACCGTTCTGTAATCAGCGAACCCAGAAGGGACTTTCCTCATTCAAAACATTGCTTGAATATCGTTTTCAAAATTTTCGAATTTTTTCCAAGGGGCTCCCCTATAAAATTTTGGGTTTTCCTAATTTCCGTACTTTTGCCCCTTCCGATGGCCATAGCTCTGCCAATTTATATCCGATCAGGAAACAAAGTACCATTCAGTAATCAGCGAACCCAGAAGCAACTTTCCTCATTCAAAACATTGCTTGAATATCGTTTTCAAAATTTTCGAATTTTTTCCAAGGGGCTCCCCTATAAAATTGTGGGTTTTCCTAATTTCCGTACTTTTGCCCCTTCCGATGGCCATAGCTCTGCCAATTTATATCCGATCAGGAATCAAAGTACCATTCAGTAATCAGCGAACCCAGAAGCGACTTTCCTCATTCAAAACATTGCATAAATATCGTTTTCAAAATTTTCGAATTTTTTCCAAAGGGCTCCCCTATAAAATTGTGGGTTTTCCTAATTTCCGTACTTTTGCCCCTTCCGATGGCCATAGATCTGCCAATTTGTATTCGATCAGGAAATAAAGTACCGTTCTGTAATCAGCGAACCCAGAAGGGACTTTCCTGATTCAAACCATTGCCTAAATATCATTTTAAAATTTGTCGATTTTTTTCCTAGGGGTACCCCTACAAAATTTTGGGTTTTCCCAATATCCCCATTTTTGCTCCTTCCGATGGTCCTAGCTCTGCCAATTTCTTTCCGATCAGGAAATAAAGTACCGTTCTGTAATCAGCGAACCCAGAAGGGACTTTCCTGATTCAAACCATTGCCTAAATATCATTTTAAAATTTTTCGATTTTTTCCTAGGGGTACCCCTACAAAATTTTGGGTTTTCCAGTTTGACAGTTTAAAATTAAGGGACCAAACCCGAACGATATGTCAGCGGAATGGACTACCTTATATAATTGTATCATGTTCCCAATATCCCCATTTTTGCTCCTTCCGATGGACATAGCTCTGCCAATTTTTATCCGATCAGGAAATAAAGTACCATTCTGTAATCAGCGAACCCAGAAGAGACTTTCCTTATTCAAACCATTGCCTACCCTTATGACATTTATATGACAGAAATCTATGATTATAGAAAGTATTTTGGTCATTAAGATCCATTAAGCCCATCTTAGTTATAAAAAAAGTACAAAACTATTCCTGATGCATCTTTATTGATCTTGGTGGCTTGGCTTTTGTGAGCTTTGAGCCAAATTCATAATATAATCTTTCTTGTCAGTCTTCTTCGGCAAAAGCACAGTCTGGATATTAGGAATCACTCCACCCTGAGCCAGAGTAACGTGTTGTAGCAACTCGTTCAACTCATCATCGTTGCGGATAGCCAACTGCAGATGACGAGGAATGATCCTGGTCTTCTTATTATCGCGAGCAGCATTGCCAGCCAACTCAAGAAGCTCAGCAGCCAGATATTCCATAACCGATGCCAAGTAAACCGGAGCACCAGCTCCAATGCGATCGGCGTAGTTTCCTTTACGGAGCATACGGTGAATGCGCCCCACCGGAAACTGAATTCCAGCACGACTCGAGCGGGACTTGGCCTTTCCGCTCACTTTTGCATCTTTTTTCCCTCCAGGCATTTTTTTGAATATTTTTTGTAGTTTTTTTCCTTGAAAACTTCTTTCTTCCACCAAAGTATCTGAAATGAAAAAAAAGAGTTCATTTTATATAATTAATTTTTTTGAAAAGCCTACTATGGCAGGATAGAAATATTGCCTCTATATTATTATTTCACTTTTTTTTTTTTATTTTTATTTTTTTATGCTACTTTCTTGGTAGAGCGTATGTAACTGAATTTAAAATATTTTATTTCCAATTAATTTTTTTTGAATTTTATTTTTATTCTTACCAATTTATTTTAATTTCAGGAGTTCACTTCACACACAACGTTGCAGTTTGATGTTTAGTCAGAGACTGAAGTAGAATCGTATTAATTTCACATAAGAAATTTAAAATATAAGAACAAGCCTACTTTGGTATATCTGCAAAAACACCTTTTTTTTTGGCCAACAATTTAAATTTGGCGCCAGACTCTAAAATGTCATCTACAAAACGACAAAAAATATGTGATATATCGATAGCTTGTACAGTAAAATAGCGTGAGCTTATAAGCGACTTTCCTCATTCAATCCATTGCCTAAATATCATTTTAAAATTTTTCGATTTTTTCCTAGGGGTACCCCTACAAAATTTTGGGTTTTCCCAATATCCCCATTTTTGCTCCTTCCGATGGCCATAGCTCTGCCAAATTGTATCCGATCAGGAAATAAACTACCGTTCTGTAATCAGCGAACCCAGAAGGGACTTTTCTCATTCAAACCATTGCCTAAATATCATTTTAAAATTTTTCGATTTTTTCCTTACAAAGTTTTGGGTTTTCCCAATATCCCCATTTCTGATATCTTCCGATGGCCATAGCTCTGCCAATTTATCGTTTCAAAATTTTCGAATTTTTTCCAAGGGGCTCCCCTATAAAATTTTGGGTTTTCCTAATTTCCGTACTTTTGCCCCTTCCGATGGCCATAGCTCTGCCAATTTATATCCGATCAGGAAACAAAGTACCATTCAGTAATCAGCGAACCCAGAAGCAACTTTCCTCATTCAAAACATTGCTTGAATATCGTTTTCAAAATTTTCGAATTTTTTCCAAGGGGCTCCCCTATAAAATTGTGGGTTTTCCTAATTTCCGTACTTTTGCCCCTTCCGATGGCCATAGCTCTGCCAATTTATATCCGATCAGGAATCAAAGTACCATTCAGTAATCAGCGAACCCAGAAGCGACTTTCCTCATTCAAAACATTGCATAAATATCGTTTTCAAAATTTTCGAATTTTTTCCAAAGGGCTCCCCTATAAAATTGTGGGTTTTCCTAATTTCCGTACTTTTGCCCCTTCCGATGGCCATAGATCTGCCAATTTGTATTCGATCAGGAAATAAAGTACCGTTCTGTAATCAGCGAACCCAGAAGGGACTTTCCTGATTCAAACCATTGCCTAAATATCATTTTAAAATTTGTCGATTTTTTTCCTAGGGGTACCCCTACAAAATTTTGGGTTTTCCCAATATCCCCATTTTTGCTCCTTCCGATGGTCCTAGCTCTGCCAATTTCTTTCCGATCAGGAAATAAAGTACCGTTCTGTAATCAGCGAACCCAGAAGGGACTTTCATCATTCAAACCATTGCCTAAATATCATTTTAAAATTTTTCGATTTTTTCCTAGGGGTACCCCTACAAAATTTTGGGTTTTCCAGTTTGACAGTTTAAAATTAAGGGACCAAACCCGAACGATATGTCAGCGGAATGGACTACCTTATATAATTGTATCATGTTCCCAATATCCCCATTTTTGCTCCTTCCGATGGACATAGCTCTGCCAATTTATATCCGATCAGGAATCAAAGTACCATTCAGTAATCAATGAACCCAGGAGCGACTTTCCTCATTCAAAACATTGCATAAATATCGTTTTCAAAATTTTCGAATTTTTTCCAAGGGCTCCCCTATAAAATTGTGGGTTTTCCGAATTTCCGTACTTTTGCCCCTTCCGATACCCATAGCTCTGCCAATTTGTATTCGATCAGGAAATAAAGTACCGTTCTGTAATCAGCGAACCCAGAAGGGACTTTCCTGATTCAAACCATTGCCTAAACATCATTTTAAAATTTTTCGATTTTTTCCTAGGGGTACCCCTACAAAATTTTGGGTTTTCCAGTTTGACAGTTTAAAATTAAGGGACCAAACCCGAACGATATGTCAGCGGAATGGACTACCTTATATAATTGTATCATGTTCCCAATATCCCCATTTTTGCTCCTTCCGATGGACATAGCTCTGCCAATTATCCGATCAGGAAATAAAGTACCATTCTGTAATCAGCGAACCCAGAAGAGACTTTCCTTATTCAAACCATTGCCTACCCTTATGACATTTATATGACAGAAATCTATGATTATAGAAAGTATTTTGGTCATTAAGATCCATTAGGCCCATCTTAGTTATAAAAAAAGTACAAAATTATTCCTGATGCATCTTTATTGATCTTGGTGGCTTGGCTTTTGTGAGCTTTGAGCCAAATTCATAATATAATCTTTCTTGTCAGTCTTCTTCGGCAAAAGCACAGTCTGGATATTAGGAATCACTCCACCCTGAGCCAGAGTAACGTGTTGTAGCAACTCGTTCAACTCATCATCGTTGCGGATAGCCAACTGCAGATGACGAGGAATGATCCTGGTCTTCTTATTATCGCGAGCAGCATTGCCAGCCAACTCAAGAAGCTCAGCAGCCAGATATTCCATAACCGATGCCAAGTAAACCGGAGCACCAGCTCCAATGCGATCGGCGTAGTTTCCTTTACGGAGCATACGGTGAATGCGCCCCACCGGAAACTGAATTCCAGCACGACTCGAGCGGGACTTGGCCTTTCCGCTCACTTTTGCATCTTTTTCCCTCCAGGCATTTTTTTGAATATTTTTTGTAGTTTTTTTCCTTGAAAACTTCTTTCTTCCACCAAAGTATCTGAAATGAAAAAAAGAGTTCATTTTATATAATTAATTTTTTTGAAAAGCCTACTATGGCAGGATAGAAATATTGCCTCTATATTATTATTTCACTTTTTTTTTTATTTTTATTTTTTTATGCTACTTTCTTGGTAGAGCGTATGTAACTGAATTTAAAATATTTTATTTCCAATTAATTTTTTTTGAATTTTATTTTTATTCTTACCAATTTATTTTAATTTCAGGAGTTCACTTCACACACAACGTTGCAGTTTGATGTTTAGTCAGAGACTGAAGTAGAATCGTATTAATTTCACATAAGAAATTTAAAATATAAGAACAAGCCTACTTTGGTATATCTGCAAAAACACCTTTTTTTTGGCCAACAATTTAAATTTGGCGCCAGACTCTAAAATGTCATCTACAAAACGACAAAAATATGTGATATATCGATAGCTTGTACAGTAAAATAGCGTGAGCTTATAAGCGACTTTCCTCATTCAATCCATTGCCTAAATATCATTTTAAAATTTTTCGATTTTTTCCTAGGGGTACCCCTACAAAATTTTGGGTTTTCCCAATATCCCCATTTTTGCTCCTTCCGATGGCCATAGCTCTGCCAAATTGTATCCGATCAGGAAATAAACTACCGTTCTGTAATCAGCGAACCCAGAAGGGACTTTTCTCATTCAAACCATTGCCTAAATATCATTTTAAAATTTTTCGATTTTTTCCTTACAAAGTTTTGGGTTTTCCCAATATCCCCATTTCTGATATCTTCCGATGGCCATAGCTCTGCCAATTTATATCCGATCAGGAAACAAAGTACCATTCAGTAATCAGCGAGCCCAGAAGCGACTTTCCTCATTCAAAATATTGCTTAAATATCGTTTTCAAAATTTTCGAATTTTTTCCAAGGGGCTCCCCTATAAAATTGTGGGTTTTCCTAATTTCCGTACTTTTGCCCCTTCCGATGGCCATAGATCTTCCAATTTGTATCCGATCAGGAAACAAAGTATCATTCAGTAATCAATGAACCCAGAAGCGACTTTCCTCATTCAAAACATTGCATAAATATCGTTTTCAAAATTTTCGAATTTTTTCCAAGGGGCTCCCCTATAAAATTGTGGGTTTTCCTAATTTCCGTACTTTTGCCCCTTCCGATGGCCATAGCTCTGCCAATTTATATCCGATCAGGAATCAAAGTACCATTCAGTAATCAGCGAACCCAGAAGGGACTTTCCTGATTCAAACCATTGCCTAAATATCATTTTAAAATTTGTCGATTTTTTCCAAGGGGCTCCCCTATAAAATTGTGGGTTTTCCTAATTTCCGTACTTTTGCCCCTTCCGATGGCCATAGATCTGCCAGTTTGTATTCGATCAGGAAATAAAGTACCGTTCTGTAATCAGCGAACCCAGAAGGGACTTTCCTGATTCAAACCATTGCCTAAACATCATTTTAAAATTTTCGAATTTTTTCCAAGGGGCTCCCCTATAAAATTGTGGGTTTTCCTAATTTCCGTACTTTTGCCCCTTCCGATGGCCATAGCTCTGCCAATTTATATCCGATCAGGAATCAAAGTACCATTCAGTAATCAATGAACCCAGGAGCGACTTTCCTCATTCAAAACATTGCATAAATATCGTTTTCAAAATTTTCGAATTTTTTCCAAGGGCTCCCCTATAAAATTGTGGGTTTTCCGAATTTCCGTACTTTTGCCCCTTCCGATACCCATAGCTCTGCCAATTTGTATTCGATCAGGAAATAAAGTACCGTTCTGTAATCAGCGAACCCAGAAGGGACTTTCCTGATTCAAACCATTGCCTAAACATCATTTTAAAATTTTTCGATTTTTTCCTAGGGGTACCCCTACAAAATTTTGGGTTTTCCAGTTTGACAGTTTAAAATTAAGGGACCAAACCCGAACGATATGTCAGCGGAATGGACTACCTTATATAATTGTATCATGTTCCCAATATCCCCATTTTTGCTCCTTCCGATGGACATAGCTCTGCCAATTATCCGATCAGGAAATAAAGTACCATTCTGTAATCAGCGAACCCAGAAGAGACTTTCCTTATTCAAACCATTGCCTACCCTTATGACATTTATATGACAGAAATCTATGATTATAGAAAGTATTTTGGTCATTAAGATCCATTAAGCCCATCTTAGTTATAAAAAAAGTACAAAACTATTCCTGATGCATCTTTATTGATCTTGGTGGCTTGGCTTTTGTGAGCTTTGAGCCAAATTCATAATATAATCTTTCTTGTCAGTCTTCTTCGGCAAAAGCACAGTCTGGATATTAGGAATCACTCCACCCTGAGCCAGAGTAACGTGTTGTAGCAACTTGTTCAACTCATCATCGTTGCGGATAGCCAACTGCAGATGACGAGGAATGATCCTGGTCTTCTTATTATCGCGAGCAGCATTGCCAGCCAACTCGAGAAGCTCAGCAGCCAGATACTCCATAACAGATGCCAAGTAAACCGGAGCACCAGCTCCAATGCGATCGGCGTAGTTTCCTTTACGGAGCATACGGTGAATGCGCCCCACCGGAAACTGAATTCCAGCACGACTCGAGCGGGACTTGGCCTTTCCGCTCACTTTTGCATCTTTTTTCCCTCCAGGCATTTTTTTGAATATATTTTGTAGTTTTTTTCCTTGAAAACTTCTTTCTTCCACCAAAGTATCTGAAATGAAAAAAAAGAGTTCATTTTATATAATTAATTTTTTTGAAAAGCCTACTATGGCAGGATAGAAATATTGCCTCTATATTATTATTTCACTTTTTTTTTTTTATTTTTATTTTTTTATGCTACTTTCTTGGTAGAGCGTATGTAACTGAATTTAAAATATTTTATTTCCAATTAATTTTTTTTGAATTTTATTTTTATTCTTACCAATTTATTTTAATTTCAGGAGTTCACTTCACACACAACGTTGCAGTTTGATGTTTAGTCAGAGACTGAAGTAGAATCGTATTAATTTCACATAAGAAATTTAAAATATAAGAACAAGCCTACTTTGGTATATCTGCAAAAACACCTTTTTTTTGGCCAACAATTTAAATTTGGCGCCAGACTTTCGGCGCCAGACCAGAAAATTTTCGAATTTTTTCCAAGGGGCTCCCCTATAAAATTGTGGGTTTTCCTAATTTCCGTACTTTTGCCCCTTCCGATGGCCATAGATCTTCCAATTTGTATCCGATCAGGAAACAAAGTATCATTCAGTAATCAATGAACCCAGAAGCGACTTTCCTCATTCAAAACATTGCATAAATATCGTTTTCAAAATTTTCGAATTTTTTCCAAGGGGCTCCCCTATAAAATTGTGGGTTTTCCTAATTTCCGTACTTTTGCCCCTTCCGATGGCCATAGCTCTGCCAATTTATATCCGATCAGGAATCAAAGTACCATTCAGTAATCAGCGAACCCAGAAGGGACTTTCCTGATTCAAACCATTGCCTAAATATCATTTTAAAATTTGTCGATTTTTTCCTATGGGTACCCCTACAAAATTTTGGGTTTTCCCAATATCCCCATTTTTGCTCCTTTCGATGGACATAGCTCTGCCAATTTCTATCCGATCAGGAAACAAAGTACCACTCAGTAATCAGCGAACCCAGAAGGGACTTTCCTCATTCAAAACATTCGTTAAATATCGTTTTCAAAATTTTCGAATTTTTTCCAAGGGGCTCCCCTATAAAATTGTGGGTTTTCCTAATTTCCGGACTTTTGCCCCTTCCGATGGCCATAGATCTGCCAATTTATATCCGATCAGGAATCAAAGTACCATTCAGTAATCAGCGAACCCAGAAGCGACTTTCCTCATTCAAAACATTGCATAAATATCGTTTTCAAAATTTTCGAATTTTTTCCAAGGGGCTCCCCTATAAAATTGTGGGTTTTCCTAATTTCCGTACTTTTGCCCCTTCCGATGGCCATAGATCTGCCAGTTTGTATTCGATCAGGAAATAAAGTACCGTTCTGTAATCAGCGAACCCAGAAGGGACTTTCCTGATTCAAACCATTGCCTAAACATCATTTTAAAATTTTCGAATTTTTTCCAAGGGGCTCCCCTATAAAATTGTGGGTTTTCCTAATTTCCGTACTTTTGCCCCTTCCGATGGCCATAGCTCTGCCAATTTATATCCGATCAGGAATCAAAGTACCATTCAGTAATCAATGAACCCAGGAGCGACTTTCCTCATTCAAAACATTGCATAAATATCGTTTTCAAAATTTTCGAATTTTTTCCAAGGGCTCCCCTATAAAATTGTGGGTTTTCCGAATTTCCGTACTTTTGCCCCTTCCGATACCCATAGCTCTGCCAATTTGTATTCGATCAGGAAATAAAGTACCGTTCTGTAATCAGCGAACCCAGAAGGGACTTTCCTGATTCAAACCATTGCCTAAACATCATTTTAAAATTTTCGAATTTTTTCCTAGGGGTACCCCTACAAAATTTTGGGTTTTCCCAATATCCCCATTTTTGCTCCTTTCCATGGACATAGCTCTGCCAATTTCTATCCGATCAGGAAACAAAGTACCACTCAGTAATCAGCGAACCCAGAAGCGACTTTCCTTATTCAAAACATTAGTTAAATATCGTTTTCAAAATTTTCGAATTTTTTCCAAGGGGCTCCCCTATAAAATTTTGGGTTTTCCTAATTTCCGTACTTTTGCCCCTTCCGATGGCCATAGATCTGCCAATTTGTATTCGATCAGGAAATAAAGTACCGTTCTGTAATCAGCGAACCCAGAAGGGACTTTCTTGATTCAATCCATTGCCTAAATATCATTTTAAAATTTGTCAATTTTTTCCTAGGGGTACCCCTACAAAATTTTGGGTTTTCCCAATATCCCCATTTTTGCTCCTTTCGATGGACATAGCTCTGCCAATTTCTATCCGATCAGGAAACAAAGTACCACTCAGTAATCAGCGAACCCAGAAGCGACTTTCCTCATTCAAAACATTCGTTAAATATCGTTTTCAAAATTTTCGAATTTTTTCCAAGGGGCTCCCCTATAAAATTTTGGGTTTTCCTAATTTCCGTACTTTTGCCCCTTCCGATGGCCATAGATCTGCCAATTTGTATTCGATCAGGAAATAAAGTACCGTTCTGTAATCAGCGAACCCAGAAGGGACTTTCCTGATTCAAACCATTGCCTAAACATCATTTTAAAATTTTTCGATTTTTTCCTAGGGGTACCCCTACAAAATTTTGGGTTTTCCAGTTTGACAGTTTAAAATTAAGGGACCAAACCCGAACGATATGTCAGCGGAATGGACTACCTTATATAATTGTATCATGTTCCCAATATCCCCATTTTTGCTCCTTCCGATGGACATAGCTCTGCCAATTATCCGATCAGGAAATAAAGTACCATTCTGTAATCAGCGAACCCAGAAGAGACTTTCCTTATTCAAACCATTGCCTACCCTTATGACATTTATATGACAGAAATCTATGATTATAGAAAGTATTTTGGTCATTAAGATCCATTAAGCCCATCTTAGTTATAAAAAAAGTACAAAATTATTCCTGATGCATTTTATTGATCTTGGTGGCTTGGCTTTTGTGAGCTTTGAGCCAAATTCATAATATAATCTTTCTTGTCAGTCTTCTTCGGCAAAAGCACAGTCTGGATATTAGGAATCACTCCACCCTGAGCCAGAGTAACGTGTTGTAGCAACTTGTTCAACTCATCATCGTTGCGGATAGCCAACTGCAGATGACGAGGAATGATCCTGGTCTTCTTATTATCGCGAGCAGCATTGCCAGCCAACTCGAGAAGCTCAGCAGCCAGATACTCCATAACAGATGCCAAGTAAACCGGAGCACCAGCTCCAATGCGATCGGCGTAGTTTCCTTTACGGAGCATACGGTGAATGCGCCCCACCGGAAACTGAATTCCAGCACGACTCGAGCGGGACTTGGCCTTTCCGCTCACTTTTGCATCTTTTTCCCTCCAGGCATTTTTTTGAATATATTTTGTAGTTTTTTTCCTTGAAAACTTCTTTCTTCCACCAAAGTATCTGAAATGAAAAAAAAGAGTTCATTTTATATAATTAATTTTTTTGAAAAGCCTACTATGGCAGGATAGAAATATTGCCTCTATATTATTATTTCACTTTTTTTTTTTTATTTTTATTTTTTTATGCTACTTTCTTGGTAGAGCGTATGTAACTGAATTTAAAATATTTTATTTCCAATTAATTTTTTTTGAATTTTATTTTTATTCTTACCAATTTATTTTAATTTCAGGAGTTCACTTCACACACAACGTTGCAGTTTGATGTTTAGTCAGAGACTGAAGTAGAATCGTATTAATTTCACATAAGAAATTTAAAATATAAGAACAAGCCTACTTTGGTATATCTGCAAAAACACCTTTTTTTTGGCCAACAATTTAAATTTGGCGCCAGACTCTAAAATGTCATCTACAAAACGACAAAAAATATGTGATATATCGATAGCTTGTACAGTAAAATAGCGTGAGCTTATAAGCGACTTTCCTCATTCAATCCATTGCCTAAATATCATTTTAAAATTTTTCGATTTTTTCCTAGGGGTACCCCTACAAAATTTTGGGTTTTCCCAATATCCCCATTTTTGCTCCTTCCGATGGCCATAGCTCTGCCAATTTGTATCCGATCAGGAAATAAACTACCGTTCTGTAATCAGCGAACCCAGAAGGGACTTTTCTCATTCAAACCATTGCCTAAATATCATTTTAAAATTTTTCGATTTTTTCCTTACAAAGTTTTGGGTTTTCCCAATATCCCCATTTCTGATATCTTCCGATGGCCATAGCTCTGCCAATTTATATCCGATCAGGAAACAAAGTACCTTTCAGTAATCAGCGAGCCCAGAAGCGACTTTCCTCATTCAAAACATTGCTTGAATATCGTTTTCAAAATTTTCGAATTTTTTCCAAGGGGCTCCCCTATAAAATTTTGGGTTTTCCTAATTTCCGTACTTTTGCCCCTTCCGATGGCCATAGCTCTGCCAATTTCTATCCGATCAGGAAACAAAGTACCACTCAGTAATCAGCGAACCCAGAGGCGACTTTCCTCATTCAAAACATTCGTTAAATATTGTTTTCAAAATTTTCGAATTTTTTCCAAGGGGCTCCCCTATAAAATTGTGGGTTTTCCTAATTTCCGTACTTTTGCCCCTTCCGATGGCCATAGATCTGCCAATTTGTATTCGATCAGGAAATAAAGTACCGTTCTGTAATCAGCGAACCCAGAAGGGACTTTCCTGATTCAAACCATTGCCTAAATATCATTTTAAAATTTATCAATTTTTTCCTATGGGTACCCCTACAAAATTTTGGGTTTTCCCAATATCCCCATTTTTGCTCCTTTCGATGGACATAGCTCTGCCAATTTCTATCCGATCAGGAAACAAAGTACCACTCAGTAATCAGCGAACCCAGAAGCGACTTTCCTCATTCAAAACATTCGTTAAATATCGTTTTCAAAATTTTCGAATTTTTTCCAAGGGAAAAAATAAATTTTTGGGTTTATAAAATTTTGGGTTTTCCTAATTTCCGTACTTTTGCCCCTTCCGATGGCCATAGCTCTGCCAATTTCTATCCGATCAGGAAACAAAGTACCACTCAGTAATCAGCGAACCCAGAGGCGACTTTCCTCATTCAAAACATTGCTTGAATATCGTTTTCAAAATTTTCGAATTTTTTCCAAGGGGCTCCCCTATAAAATTGTGGGTTTTCCTAATTTCCGTACTTTTGCCCCTTCCGATGGCCATAGCTCTGCCAATTTATATCCGATCAGGAATCAAAGTACCATTCAGTAATCAGCGAACCCAGAAACGACTTTCCATATTCAAAACATTGCTTGAATATCGTTTTCAAAATTTTCGAATTTTTTCCAAGGGGCTCCCCTATAAAATTGTGGGTTTTCCTAATTTCCGTACTTTTGCCCCTTCCGATGGCCATAGATCTGCCAATTTGTATTCGATCAGGAAATAAAGTACCGTTCTGTAATCAGCGAACCCAGAAGGGACTTTCCTGATTCAAACCATTGCCTAAACATCATTTTAAAATTTTTCGATTTTTTCCTAGGGGTACCCCTACAAAATTTTGGGTTTTCCAGTTTGACAGTTTAAAATTAAGGGACCAAACCCGAACGATATGTCAGCGGAATGGACTACCTTATATAATTGTATCATGTTCCCAATATCCCCATTTTTGCTCCTTCCGATGGACATAGCTCTGCCAATTTTTATCCGATCAGGAAATAAAGTACCATTCTGTAATCAGCGAACCCAGAAGACACTTTCCTTATTCAAACCATTGCCTACCCTTATGACATTTATATGACAGAAATCTATGATTATAGAAAGTATTTTGGTCATTAAGATCCATTAAGCCCATCTTAGTTATAAAAAAAGTACAAAATTATTCCTGATGCATCTTTATTGATCTTGGTGGCTTGGCTTTTGTGAGCTTTGAGCCAAATTCATAATATAATCTTTCTTGTCAGTCTTCTTCGGCAAAAGCACAGTCTGGATATTAGGAATCACTCCACCCTGAGCCAGAGTAACGTGTTGTAGCAACTTGTTCAACTCATCATCGTTGCGGATAGCCAACTGCAGATGACGAGGAATGATCCTGGTCTTCTTATTATCGCGAGCAGCATTGCCAGCCAACTCGAGAAGCTCAGCAGCCAGATACTCCATAACAGAGGCCAAGTAAACCGGAGCACCAGCTCCAATGCGATCGGCGTAGTTTCCTTTACGGAGCATACGGTGAATGCGCCCCACCGGGAACTGAATTCCAGCACGACTCGAGCGGGACTTGGCCTTTCCGCTCACTTTTGCATCTTTTTTCCCTCCAGGCATTTTTTTGAATATTTTTTGTAGTTTTTTTCCTTGAAAACTTCTTTCTTCCACCAAAGTATCTGAAATGAAAAAAAATAGAGTTCATTTTATATAATTAATGTTTTTTTGTGAAGCCTACTATGGCAGGATAGAAATATTGCCTCTATATTTTTATTTCACTTTTTTTTTTATATTTTTATCATTTCACTTTTATTTTAATAATTCAATTCACACACGATGCTACTTTCTTGTTAGAGCGGTATGTAACTGAATTTAAAATATTTTATTTCCAATTAATTTTTTTTGAATTTTATTTTTTTTCTTACCAATTTTTTTTAATTTCAGGAATTTACTTCACACCCAACGTTGCAGTTTGATGTTTAGTCAGAGACTGAAGTAGAATCGTATTAATTTCACATAAGAAATTTAAAATATAAGTACAAGCCTACTTTGGTATACACCTTTGGCACAAACACCTTTTTTTGGCCAACAATTTAAGTTTGGCGCCCGTCTCTAAAGCGCCATCTACAAAACGTCACGAAATGTTCGATATATATCGATAGATTGTATTGTAAAATGGCGGGTACATGGCGGATATGTAAAATAATATATTTAAAGAAATATCTTATGCTGAAACATATTTTTATGTAAAAACAAATTAAAAATTTAAAAAAAATATTTAAGTTTGTGAATACTTATAATGGTTACCGTTGAAAATAACAATTCATAGAAGTATATACAAACCTTTTGCATCTTATTTTCAATATAGAGGCGGTTTCAAGTTTACTTTCATTTGGAATCGTTAACTCAGCGTGAATAAGGTAACCAAAACAGAAAAACAAGAAGCCGCTGGCAGAGTTCTTGAAGTTTTCTGCTTACTCCGCAGCCTGAACATTATATATTGCTTTGTATTTTGCTCCGGGTGGCGCATTTCTTGAAAATTATAGCCATGAGAGAAGACAATCAGCTATTTCAGGCACTGGCAATAAGTTTATTATTGGGTAAGGTTCTGTTTTTTAAGAATATTCTTTTAAATCTAAATCATTTTGTTTATAGTTCTACCCACCTGCCTAGCCCTGCCGTATGCCTCATCTGGCGGCAATGATATTGATACTGATAGCACTGGCATTGGGCGACCTGTGGACTACCACACTGTTGTGGGCCACTTAAAGGACTTCTTTATGTACATGCCAGTGATGATGACTACGCTGAAGGAGACAATGTCCGGTTTCCCGAAATTCGCCGAGGGTATGCGTATATTGACCTCCGGAAAAGGACGAGCCGATGGCGAGGACTGCAAGTGCAATCAAAACGGACTGGGCAGCGGGGAAATCCTGGATTCAAATAGTCGATTTGGGTGACCCGGATTCCGGAAACCAATTCCCCAGTACGTGAATAAAATAAAAAAAATTACATCACAAATAAAAAATGAATGAAATGAAGTCATTGGTGAAAGGGATAGGGATCGAACAAAATCTTAGGATCGGGATCAAAATTCCTGGAAAATGTTGTACCTTATTATCTGAAGAATTATTTTAAAAAACTCTTTCATTTTTCTGCCGAGTCACTAGTAAGTTGAATAAATTACTCAATAAGAAAATCAATTGTAATCGTTTGGGGACTTTCCTGTTGTCCTGTTTACCGAGAAGACGCCATGCCCTTGAACGGGTGATATTGTTAGACAATAACTAAGTAGCCCATAACCCATAACCCATATTGGCTGGACTTGAACTACATATATTTCTAGATATTTTCTTAAGCTGTTTTCTATGGCTTATTAGCCCTTCCCCTTGGGAATGCTGACCACCTGCCTGTAGAAGCACAGACATGGTGGTTAGGGGGGGCTCCTAATCAAAGCCACCAATCTGCATACAATCACCAGGGGGTTGGCGGAGTTCGAGGTAACCACCGAACCACCGGGAACCAATGGGCGACTGTCATGTTTGCAGTTGTCATTATTGTTAATTGTATTTGCGGTGTGACCGGGCATGCATGGTCTATATTTACATATGTATTCCAAACCAAAGGGGACAAATGTAATTCGGTGTTGGTTTATACTTTCAGTTTCAGTGGGGACTTTGGAGCGAACGCAACTGTACCCGAACAGCATGCCCAGGAAGCGCAAAAAGCGGATATACTAGTGACACTCGAAAGGAAACCCCATAACGCATCGGCCACGATGGCCACTGGCATCGAGCTTCTGGTGGCCGCCGCCCTCTGTGTCGCGTGTCCACCTTTGAATGAATCCCTGCCCGCGAATCTCATCCAGGTGGACAGTGATAACGTACCCTTGCCCACCGAACTGCCCATCGACATGGAGGCCTCTGACGCTGGACTGGACGAGGATGTGCCGGCGGAGACCCTGGAGACGCTAATCAACAAGAAGATTAAGTTGCGCGAAATGCGGGACTGGATCGGTGGGAAGCATTTAAGAATCGCTACCCTCGAGGATTACCCGCTCAGCTATACGGAGCTATTGGAGAATGGTTCTCGGATCGGGCACGGCGTGTCCTTTCAGATAATCGATTTTCTGAAGAAGAAATTCAACTTTACATACGAGGTCTATGTGCCCCAGGACAACATCATCGGATCGCCCACCGACTTTGATCGGAGTCTCATCGAGATGGTCAACAAAAGCGTGAGTTTTTAATTTGAATACTTTTAAAGGGTATTGAGATATATTTTATTGTTCAGCTGGTGGACCTGGCTGCTGCCTTTATACCCTCGTTGTCGGAGCAACGGAGATACGTCTACTACTCGACCACCACTCTGGACGAGGGCGAGTGGATAATGGTGATGCAGCGTCCGAGGGAATCGGCCAGCGGGTCCGGTCTACTGGCACCCTTCGAGTTCTGGGTGTGGATCCTCATTCTGGTCTCGCTTCTGGCCGTCGGACCGATCATATATGTCCTTATTATTTTGAGGAATCGTCTCACCGGCGACTCCAACCAGCAGCCGTACTCTTTGGGGCACTGCGCCTGGTTCGTCTACGGGGCCCTGATGAAGCAGGGCAGCACCTTGTCGCCCATTGCCGGTAAGCTGCAATTAGGTTAAAGTGCAATCGGCCAGTTGCCGATGGCATCAGCGAGCGCGCTAATGGGCCAATAGATTGCATGTGTGGGGTCAGTTTGTCGATTCATTAAACTCATTAAAAACCATTACAGACTCGACCCGGCTACTATTCGCCACCTGGTGGATATTCATCACGATATTAACCTCTTTTTATACCGCCAACTTGACCGCCTTCCTCACCCTCTCCAAGTTCACGCTACCCTACAACACCGTCAACGATATCCTGACCAAAAACAAGCACTTTGTTTCGATGCGCGGCGGTGGGGTGGAGTATGCCATTCGAACGGTAAGCAGGGACTATACTTTAATCCTACTATAATCTACTAATTCTGACTCCTTCAGACTAACGAATCCCTGTCGATGCTTAACCGTATGATTCTAAACAATTATGCCGTGTTTTCGGACGAGACCAACGACACCTTTAATTTGCAAAACTATGTGGAGAGAAATGGATATGTATTCGTTCGAGATCGGCCGGCAATCAATATAATGCTTTACCAGGACTACCTTTATCGCAAAACCATCAGCTACAGTGACGAGAAAATTCATTGTCCTTTTGCCATGGCCAAGGAGCCTTTTCTCAAAAAGAAACGAACCTTTGCCTATCCGATTGGTTCCAATTTGAGTGCCCTCTTCGATCCCGAGTAAGTCCAAGGAGTTCGAAAAGGTTCTTTAATTGAAAATCTCAATTTCTGTTGGTTTAGATTGCTCAACCTAGTGGAGTCCGGCATTGTGAAGCATTTATCGGCCAAGGATCTGCCTAGTGCGGAGATATGTCCCCAGGATCTGGGAGGCACAGAGCGACAGCTACGAAATGGAGACTTGGTAAGTGATTTTAAACATTTTTACTAAAATAGAAATAATAATACTTTAAAACGATTTTAGATGATGACTTACTACATAATGCTGGCAGGATTTGCCACTTCGATGGCCGTTTTCACCACGGAGTTGTTGTTCCGCTACGTAAACAGCCGCCAGGAGGCCAACAAATGGGCACGCCATGGAATCGGGCGAACGCCCAATGGCCAGTCGGTGGCTCCGTCTCGGTGGCTGCGTGGTTGGCGGCGCCTGGACAGCGGAAACCGACAACTGTTGGGCACCTCCACCCATGGCCAGAATGTGACACCGCCGCCGCCCTATCAGAGCATCTTCAGTGGCGGCGGCCATGGAGACTCGTTGGGAAATCGCTGGCGGCGTCCACCCATCGGAAACGGAAATGGTGTCCTTCTGGGCGGTGGTGCCTCTGATTCTGGAGTCCGGCGACTGATCAATGGACGCGACTACATGGTATACCGCAACACCAACGGTCAGAGTCAGCTGGTTCCGGTACGATCACCTTCGGCGGCACTATTTCAGTATACCTACACCGAGTAGGGAGTAGAATTTAGGTACTTGCCAGTACCAGTCACCACAGCACCGAAGACGTAGGCATCCCATTTGTTGTGATTTTATTATTCTTTCAATAAAAGTGCACTAACTGGATGGAGATGTGTTTCATTTCATTATAATATATCACAAATAATAATAGAAGCGCGAAGAATTCCATTTATTTACACATTTAAGCGACACCATTACTCCAGTGTGGATTGCGGACTGAACTGATAGGCGGAGGACTGCATATCCAGGCTGCTGTGGGAGGAGCACGAACTGACCGAAGGAGCACGCGTGGAGGAGGCCGATGAAACGGAAGAGGAGGCGCTGGACCCGCTGGAGGAAGAGCTCACCCAGGCGTGGCCACTGCGACGTCTTCGCTGGCGGACTAGGCCCAAAACCGATCCAGCCACCGGAGTGGAGGCCGAGCTGGCCGAAACCTGACGTCGAATCTGGGTGACATTGCGTTCGGCTACGGGAGCAGTGGCGGGCCGTCGTGATGCCGATTCTGAGCTGTCAGCATCGCTGGAGGGCGGCGAAGAAGCCTCCTCGACTTCTGCTGGCAATGGAGGAGCGTTGAGAGCGCGTCCATCCAAGAGCAGCAATGTGGGCACACTGCGGGCCAACACAGAACGGTATAGAGGAAGCCGGCACACAGGATTTCCTTGCAGCTCCACTTCCTGCAGCTGCGGACACATCCCCAAGAAGGAGAGCAGTCCCAGCTCACTGATCCGGTTGCTACGAGCTCTAAGCACCCGGAGGTGTGTTAGCTCGGCCAGGGGATCAACCCTCTGAATCATATTCCCGTCGGCGATGAGCACACGGATGCTGGGCAGGCCGCTGGTGCCGTCGAAGCTGTTCAGGCCACAGTTACTGATGTCCAGCCGGGTCAGCTGAAGCAGGCCATAGCCCAAGTCGCGGAGGGAGCTTAACACACTGCCGCTCAGGTCAAGGGTCTGGAGGCGCGGCAGGAAGAGCGACAGCCGGGACAGGCTGATGGTGTAGGAGATCACGCGCAGGCGCACCGACTCCACGGCCTCCAGGTCCGTGCGCTGAGTAACACGGCGCTGTGAAAATAAAAAAAAAGGTTATACAACAACTGGCTTTTTTATTTTCACAAAGGATATATTCGGGGGTAGGTTTATATGCGACTTACCAGCAACTCATCCAAAGTCGGTTCTGGGGCCTGCTGGGGCAACACAACGGGCAGCAGGTGCACGAATGCCGGAAAGTGCTGCGTCTCCTCGACAGCGGCCACGTCCCGGTCGAAGGAGTTCCGACGTCCCAGTTGCCGCCGGTTGATCTGTGCCCGCTGCTGTTGCTGCTGGGCGGGATTCTGCTGATTAAGTCGCACCTCAGGCGGCGGCAAACGGAGTTGGGCCATTGCCGCCGGCCCAGGGGGATTCGCCAGCAGCACGGGAAGTTCCGCTTGCAGGGAGTGCTCCGGCGAGGACTCCAGATACTCGGCAGGTGCCTCCAGGAGGGGCATTCTTTGAGCTTGTCTTTGGACACTTTTTGCTACCTTTTGCGACTTGGCCGGCTGTCTTTTGACGGTTTTTATTGATATAACAACTCGGAAGTTACCAAGGGCAACGCTTTCGATAACATCCTTTCCAAAACCAATGCCGGAAAGCTAAGTATTCAAGCGCATCCTTATAAACAAAAAATGTTGCCTACATTTTGGGGCCAGAAGCTCTTTTGGTCTTTAAATTTAAATGTTAATATTTAATAACTTTATAATTAATAAAATAAATATGTAAATAATTTTATAAAGACTTAAAAATTATAAAGTTTCTATATATAAGCTTTTAATAATATCCTTGTGTGAATTCCTAGCAAATTCTTAAACTTTTCACTGCTTTATCGATTTGGAAATTTGCAGCATTCCCATGTTGTGTTTTTGGCAAAAAGGACCTTTCACACTGACGTCAGTGTGACGTCACGGTAGTGACGTTCATTCGCTCACCAACCGTCTGGCCAACGGGGAGAGCAAAGAGAGAGAGAGAGTTCCCAAGATGTTAGCCAATTGCCCAACGCCTTTTGCCATTTCGAGGGCCATTAGCCATCACCAGAAGGCTTTCGCTGTCTCTTTCACCTTTCACCTCTCACCTACGACACCTCCCCCACCCCCGGCACACTCTTCCAAACTTTCCCCGTTCTCCGCCCCAACGCCACCCACTCCTAAATTGTCTCGCTCTCCTGTGCTTACGATAATGAAATTTGGGAGAGCTTTTGCCGGCTTTTGTGTGCTTGTTGTGGGTGGGCAAATGGAAATGGTGGCTCCCAGGGGAGGTGCTGTTGTTGTTTTGGTTTTGGCTCCGACACCGAGCCGAGCTTTTTCGATTGACGTCATCAGAGGCGAAAGCTGCGCAACGAGCTGACATCCTACCACGCATTTATCGATTCCACAGGCGAGCGAGAGTGGGAGAAAGTCTCTCTTTTTGGTGGCTGTCGGCGTGGGTGGAGGGGAAGGATGGAGGTGCCTTACGTGTGGGCGAATTTGGTTTTTGAAAAAATGACACGACAGCAGCTGCAGCTTGAAACCAATATAGGTGCACTGGAGAAATGCAAAAAAAACTAAATAAATTATAAAAGAAAAATAATAATAAAAAAAGAAAATGTTTTTATATAAAAGATATTTTAGCTGTAGTTAATTCAAAGCCAAACTTTGTTTTATTTTTAATATATTTTTCATATAAGGGAATTATTTTCCTCAGTGTAGTCGCAGTTGGCTAATAAGTTGGGGTTCAGGTGTTGCTTGAATAAAATAAAATCCCATCTTTGGCTCGCACATTTTTATAGAGGCCTAAAAATAGAATTTGTCAATAATACCAACACACACACTCGTGCAGTCTCGTTGTGTGGGTGCAGGACACGCACTGTTGACGTCATTGTCCAGAAAGCTTTATGGCTCCATGTCCCGTTACTACGTTACAACCAGTACGAGCGGAGTTCTCTCCATTCGATTTTCTCTCAATTTCTCTCTCTTGTTCCCATTCCTACGTCGCTGTCGGCGTAGGCGTAGCTGCACCAGCGAACGTTGGACTTGATAATTGGATAATTTTTTTTAAATATTTAAAAAATATTATAGGTTTCAATTATATTTAATTAGGAATAAGTATAACAAAAAAAATAGCATAATTTTAATTTAAAAGGTTAGTATTGGGTATATATTAGTAGTGCCTGCCTTACAGCGACAGAGCAGTCGTCGTCGACTGCAACACAGAAGAGAGCCGCGTTGGGACGTTGTAAGTGAGAGAGCTTGTTGGCCAAAATCTATTTAAGCCACTCGCAGCGTCGAGCTCTTTGTTATTGCAGGATAATTTTTCGTCCGCGCTGCTTGTGTCTTCGGTTCGGCTCCTCTAAAGAAAATTAAAAAATCCTTAAAAAATATCAGAATTTCAAGATGGATATCCGTTAAATAGCAACGACAGGAAAACTATTGGTTTCTCTTCAATTTTACCAAGTGATATAACTAAAAAAATACGCAGAATTTGTTCTAATTAGATGTGAAAAAAAAAAATTATTTTAACAAAAAAAAAAAGGAAAAAAAAGTGCAAAGTGTAATATCTAAACAAAATAATCGAAAAAATATAGCCAATAAGAGCCCAACTAAATATAAAGCCTTGAAGAAATGCCAACAGCTCGCAGCCCAAAGGGGTGGCATTTGTAGTTGTGGTTGTCGGTGAGGGTGTGGAAGTGGGAGTGGGTGTGGGTGTAGCTGCAAGTGCAACGTTATTTGGGTCAAAAGCTACAGTAGCAGCAGCAAACTTCCAGGGGTCCACCTGTTATGCAGCTGGCTTAGGAGCGGACCAGATAGCGAGGAAGAGGCAGAGGCAGAGGCAGAGGAAGAGGAGCAGCCATGGAGACCAGCAGCAGTAGTCAGCCAGCGAAGGTGCATCGCCAGCACCAGCGCCAGCGACGGACGGAGGCCCGCCAACGGCGACTGGAACGGGAGGCAGCTGCAACAGGACCAGGACCAGGATCAGGAGCAGGTACTTCAGTTGAGATAAGCACACCCGAAAGGCAGGAACGCCAGGAGGCCCTGGACTGTGCGACGGCGTTGAACGAGGATTTGGGCGGCGGAGGCGGAAGCGTGGGCACCCCCAGCAGCGCGGGTCGCATCAGTGCTCAGAGCTCCGCGGACAGCATTGAAATGGTGGGCTCACCAAGTCAAACATCTCAGCAAACGGTGGTCCTGGTCAACGGACATGCACCGCCCTCGCAGGACGATGCCGCCCACGAGCCACAGCAGGAGGAGAGCGCCCAACTGGGGGCCCGGGAATCCCCGCCACCGCCACAACTACCGTCGGTAGCGAAGCAAAGCGACGGTAGCCGCAACTCGTCCGGGGACGCGATGAGTCTGCGGGAGACCCTGCAACAGCTGCCGGCCACCCATCACCATCACCATCGGTCACGACGCACTCACTCGCCGCAGTCCCTGGAGGCGGACTCCTCGTTCCATCGCGGCATACTCGGTTACATGGATCGCGAGCTCAAGCAGTGTTCGCCCACCCCCTCCGCCTCGGGCAACGGAAACGGGAATGCAACGGGTGCCTCCCGGAAGCAGCAATCTCTGTCGGATCCGCAAGCCAGTCCCGCCCAACGATCGCTCCGGTCGCGGAGCAGCTTCGACAAGAGTCCCCGGCGGAAGCGCAGCAAGTCCGAGTCTCGACGGCGGCGGGAACGCAAACTTATCGCCGCCGGGGAGATGGAGGTGCGGCAGGCCAACGAGACGCTAATGCGGTACCTGAAACAATGCTCCGATATGCACGACGCCTCGCTATCCGGCGAGCTGGAGATCGACCAGAGCTACGAGGAGCGTCGCGTCCATCGGAAGACCAAGTCGCAGCGGGACAAGCGGGGCCAGCTAATCAGTGAGTAGCATCCTTGTTTCCCCATTTTCCAGCTCATTCTGCTCTCATTGACTAAAGTCTGTGGAGGCGAAAGCTCTCCCACCCACCTCTACTAGCCGTCCCACCCACTTGTGTAGGTCTCGAGTCTGCGCACTCCTTTAACGGTGGCTTGAAGCCATCCGGAGGTGGCTTAGCATGTTCTGGACTCCTCCTAAGATTATCTTTGTCTCTGGAAGATGATTCGTTTCATCCATACCTTCTTTTATAAAAAATATGTATTTTTAAATTGTTTGTTTTCTTGATATCCTTCAGGCAAACTATATACGGCTGGGGGGATATCCTCCATCCTCAAGGAGCTGGCCGACGACATCGCCCCGGCAGACGGCGAGGAGATCTACAACCCCTTCACGCCAGTAGTCTCGCCCACGGACGATGCGCCCGCGCACATCGACAAGATGTTCCTGCAGACGTCATCCGGGTATCGACCGGTGGAGCACAGCTACTACAAGCGCTCCTTCCTGGGGGCTGGTGGCGGACGCAGTGCCGGTGGTCCTTCGGGCTCCGGCGGCGGTGTCGGTGGCAGCCATATCGATGGTATCTCGGCCGCGGAACTGGGTGGCGCCGGTCGCCTCTTTCGTTCCAACGGCAGTCATGGCGGTGTGGCTGGTGGTCCCGGTGTCATATCGGGCAGTGGTCGGGGCAGCTATGGAGATACCCGTTGCCTGCTCGATGGCGAGTATCATCGGTAAGTATTTTTTTTTGAGTAATAATCATAAAAACGCAATGGGTTTAATTGAATTAAACACTAGAAACGCCATCACCAACAATATACAACTAGCCTGTGTAGTTCAACGAATCTGGCTGCTCATCTCGAATATATGCCACGGCCTGCTAGCTGGTCTAGCTCTGGCCCATCTTCTCTTCGTGCTGAGCAGCCATCCCATGGACTGGGCCAAGGTCATCAACGGTATGAGTCTCGCGGGCGAGACCATGACCTCAGCCCCAACCACGTCACCATCATCCGCATCGACGGCTTCAGTGATCGAACTGCCAACAACGGCGGGTTTGGGTCTAAGTCCTGGCGATCGGGGCACAGGGTCGGATGGATCTACAACCACGGTATCCGGACCCGGCAGTAGCGATGCCTTGGCATTGATAGGAGACTACGCAGGATTTGCGGAGATCTATTTAAACACCTTCTACTGCTTGGCCATCATCTGTCTGGTTTCCGTTTTCGATCGGTAAGTGAAACAAAATGTAAGATTATAAGTCTATAGGGTTATAGGATTTTTTAGTTCCATTTTAAAGCTCATCAATATATTGTGAGCAACCCACAAACAAACGTCCTTTCTAGTCCCGCCCTTCGACAATCCTTTGATGTCCTTTGGGTGGATTAAAAGTCAATTTGGGGTAAGCGCAACCTTCGCAAACACTCGTCTAAAAATAGGATGCCAAGTGTAGCATGCCACGTCTCCGGGGAGGGCGGAGTTCGCCCCCAAGAACACATTGACCTCAGACGTAGGCCTCGCTGCCACTTTTCATTGAGCTACAAAATTCGTCCTGATGTGGGCCACCGTCCCTCCTTATGGTTGAGTGCCTCTCTCTCTTAGGTTTTGGTCTAGACTCGAGACCAAACGACTTACATAGGTTCTGAAGGCTCTGAAAAGTGTGCTCTATTATATACAGTGCGTTTCGTGATGATAGAAACTTTGCGCGTAATTAAGAGCCTGTGGCCTAGGAATTTGTTCGGCTTCGCGGTCGCATTCAAATAATTTGTATCGCCCGCATTGCGTGGTCGCTTTCATCAGCCACAAAATATTTTAATGCCCTTAAACTTTGCTCTTTTTGCATGCCTTTGGCTCTGCCCACACACACACAGAAAAAAAAAAAGACGGAAAATACACCACTCGACGTCTCTGCCTGCACTCTTGACCTTTAAAGGCTGCGCCAGTCGGTGGGTGGTGTGGGTGTGGGTGTGGGTGTGGGTGTGAGTGTGAGTGTGGGTGAGGGTGCTGGTGATGGTATTTGGCGGTAAGCGGCATAAGAAGTAGAGCAACTGTCTGTTGTTCGCTTTTCCGATTTGGCTGTTTTCCTCTTTTTTTTTTCCAACAAAAGTGTGAAACTGGGCATGACATTTCGGTTTCGTTATCCCCACAAGCCAGTTGATTTATGTGTGTTGGTTGGGTTGGGATAGTATCCATCTCCGACCGGGCCAGCGGAGTCTGTGCCCTGACCTTTGCCACTTGGAGTGCCAAATGGAGTGGAGTGCGTGGGTGAAGTATACGCTTCTTCTCATAAATGTCAGCCCGAAGATATTTAACATTTGCAAATAGTATAATTGATTCATGGAAGCCTTGTACTCTGACGTCATCCTAGGCTTTTCTATTCCTTGGGTAGTGTCCTTACTTGCATTTTCTTATCAATGATTGAACTGCGACCCTCAATCGCCTGGCAATGAAACCGGCTATTTGTTTTAAGGTCGGTTTAAGTTTGAAGGAGAAATGTATTGTTTTTTTTAGAGAAACCAACCAAAATATAATGTATGAATTTTCTTGTTTATTTATTAATATTATTTACATGTTTTTTTCCTCATCAGCATGGACATCTGTCGCTGGAGCTTCTCGAATGCCAGCGAATTGATCTCGTTTCGCTGGCTCATCATCACCATGATCTATGTGGCGACAATAATCCTTACAATATGCTCCGATTCCATTGACGAGAAGCTGTACCTGTTCAACAACAATGCCAACATCACCTTAACCCAACAGGAAATGGTATGTTTCTACTTCCGATTGAAATTGATTTTCAATAATTAATATATCCCCATAAAGCTGAGCAACAGCGTCCAGAGCGTTTGGAGCAGCCTGTCGGTGACCAGGAGCATTGCCGCCATATCGGGATGGATTATGATCGGACTGACGCCGCAGGAGGACATGCTGTATGAGCATCTGGTCGACCTTAGCAAATATCAGTTGACAAATAATTGAACTTAAGGGCACACGGTAATTCGGCAACAACAAAAAACTGTACATACCATTTATAGTTGAACTTGTAGCAGCTGTTGTTTAGTTACTGGCTTTTTATATGTACAATGTATGGCATAATCAAAGCGCAATAGGACTCTTATGTATACCCAATACTTAAGCTTTAAAGTTGTATCTTAAGGATTCACTTGGATGCCCTTCACAGGCCGCTAGAACAAACAACAAATGGACGATAATCCAATTATATACTAAACCAATAAGCAAAAGAGTAATCCTTCGAGTTAGCTACTAAGCAAATATATAGCGAACACAGGTTAGGGTCATAATACATAAATACGACATTTACATACCTACACCTAAAAAGTAAAAAACAAGATAAGAATATAAACAATATGTTACTTATATAACGATTTAATAAAATCAACCTACTACTGATATTGAAATGAAATACATGACATGAATGGAAATGCAATATATGAAATTTATATTATTTCTTACACATATCGTCTTACCCTTTAGTTTCTGGCGGGATATTTTTTGAACAAAAAATGCTTCCGTTATTTAAGTCCAAAATTGTAGGAGCAAAAATTGATTATTAATTTACAATTAAAATTGAATTTTACTTTTAAAAAAATGTTAAGTATGTTAAGTATATTAAGTATGTGTATTATTTTTGTTGATCAATATACTTAATGTATTGTTTTTGTTGCGACATAATTAAAAAAATATTTTAAAAGAGCTGTAAATAAACTGAGTGCAATAATATATCACTTATATACTCAAACTATAATGAATTTGGCGGGAAAATCGTATTGTATATAAAAAATATAAATGCAAATAAAAAAAACGTATGTATAAATCGTGTCCTTTTTTTCACTAAACTTTACAAATTTAATTATTTTGGCAGTTTTTTTTTTTTTGAATTTTGCGAGTGTTTAACAGAGTGCTGTTAAGTGCCCCGCAAAGTACTGTTATGCGCATTAAACGCGAACATTGCATGTAGCTGGTCACATTGGACGCTGTGCTTTCTTGAAACTAAGATCGTCTTATAAAGCATTGAATAAACCATTATTTGTGATTGAAAATATACATATAAAATAATAAATATGAAACCAGATGACCTTAGCAATCTGTCGCACGATTGTCGTGGATCTATGGATGACTTAACTACTGGTAACAACTCGGTAAGCATCCTATACTGTATACATATATGTATTAAAAAGCGTCTTAGAAATTCTTTGAATTTATGTACATATGTATTTATGTATGTATATTCCAGTTAAACACCGATTCCGATGAAGAGTGCTCTGGTTGCAAAAATGATCAAAGCGAATTTATTCATAAACTAAAGAAACTCGTTAAGGATCTTGAAAGGAAGTTGGAATGTGCAGAATTGAATTTGACCTGTGAAAAGGAAAAGAACATTCTGCTAAGAGAAAAAGACGAGCTAAATAAAGATTTTCGCTCCTCAATCGAATTGTCTTCCCGAGACAAAGATGTCATCATTAATCAGTTACAGAGCAAGATTGCAGAGTTCCATAATTCAAAGAGTACAATGCAAGATAGAATTGAGAAACTAGAAATAGACATGAAAGTAAAAATCAGCCATATCGCCCAACTGGAGTCACAAAAGAACATTCTGCTAAGAGAAAAAGACGAGCTAAATATCGCTTTTCGCTCCTCAATTGAATCTTCCTCCCAAAACCAAGATATCGTTAAGCAGTTAGAGGGCCAAATTTCAGAGCTTCATAATTCACAGAGTACAATGCAAGACAGAATTAAGAAACTTAACCTAGAAGTGGTAAAAAAGGAAGAATATATTGCAAGGCTAAAAACACAATTGGAGTCACCTTTTTCCCATAAAATAGAAATGTATTATACAAATTATGAAATGGGCTGTCCAACCTTTTGGGCCAGATTTGAGGATATGCCTTTTAGTGGTGAATGGATGCTTATTCAGAGCAGTATGGATCCCTGTTTAACCTTTTTCTCTAATAGCAGAAATTATCTTGATGGTTTTGGAGACCCTTTTATGGAGTATTGGCTGGGCTGTAAAAAGCTGCACAATTTCACAAAAAGTCAAAGACATGAATTGTTCATAACATTAAAAAATTTCGATGATAAATGGACTTACATACATTACGATAACTTTCTTATTGGAAGTGAAAGCGATGGCTTTAAAATCAATGCTCTAGGGTCATACACGGGAAACGCCAGCGATTTTTATCGATGTTGTTGGAAGCAACTTTTAAAAATGAATTATACTGATTGGTGAGAAAATTGAAATGTGAAATTTAAGCTAATAAACTAAACTAATAAATTATTTTCAGTAACTTAAACGCAAATGATCCTCAAGCGCAAGCAAAGATCAAAAGACTAGATATAAAATGTTTTGAAATGTACATTAGACCTAAAAAGGAAGACAAATATGTTTAAAATTACATATTTCATAATAAATAATTATATGTTACCTAACTTTAAAGTTTAAACCGTAAATAATACAGAATAATACGTTTTTGTAAACGGTATAGTATTTGATAAGGATCATCTCCTGTTTCTCTTGTTTATCGTTTTCTTGTAAATTTGAGAAACTATTATGTATAACCATTAATTCTAACTTTTATTGAGATGAAGCTTTGTGCTCAGGCCATTTTAAAATTTGCATAAATTTGGATTGGATAAATTTGGATAAGAATAATTTAATGTAAAATTTGTAATGCAAACACATAAATAAAGAAAGCAAAGTAATATGTTTTTAAGCTTGTTAACCAAACTTTGTTTAGCACCGATGGATAAATTAGGTGTTTAGTATGTTGATGAAAAAATGTACCTTACGCTAACGATATTATCATCATTAAACACTTGCTGCAATTACGGAGCTAATTGAATTGCTAAGTGAATATAATGACTCGACAACAAACACCAAAGTAAGCCCAACGGATGGGGCAACAATATATGAAGCTCTGTGCCCAAGAATCTACCCAGACAAAGGCCACAAAAATTGCAAGTATTTTTTTTTTGAGAGGCTCTGATAGAACGGAAAGCAAGTTTCCTAATAGCACTTTTCTTTATTTAAAAATAATTATATATTTATTATATAAAAAGTATGAATTTTAAACCATAACCAAAAGAAAAATTAAAACAAAAAATGAGTTACAAACTCGTTGAAGGACCAAGCATATCCCGGGTTAAAGAAAGCCTCCCGCCTGTAAGCGAGCTGTGAGGAAACCAGGACGGAGAGTCCTGTAATTAGGTTAAATACACACGTGGCTCCAAGTGCCTTGGCTTGTGTGTGCTTGGAGATAAAACGCTGCAAAAATGAGGTGAGAAAATGAGATAAAACAAGCAACGGCTGGCGCAACGAATAAAAATGGCGCGTAATTTGCACGTTTAACCGCATGACAGCGAAAAAATTACACAACCCATACACAATGGACAACAACACAAACACGTACTTGGGACTCACATGAGCCTGCGGTGTCTAAATAACAATTACATAGCAGCCTTAGCACTCAAGTCGCCCAAGTTGTCCTTGGATGGACTTGGATTCCTTAGCGGCTCCGGCTTCCGGTGGCTCCTGGGATGGACGGGGGCTGGGCTGGACATTTGAGCATATGGTCCTGTAATTATCCTGTTGCTCTTGCCAACATCACGGCTTAGCCGACCTAGCCCTGGACCACAGAGTCCATAGCTACTTGAACGCCGCTGCTTATCGAAATGCCCATCAAGATGGCTGGTCCGTGATGGGTTGATTAATTGAAATATTCCTAGCCTACTCTCGGGGTGGATAACTATGAACAGCATATGTCGGCTAGTCACTTGGGCAATCAAATAAGTAAAATATCATTGGTAATATCAGAGTAAATTATGTACAGGAAAATTGCTCAGTTGTTCTTAACTTGTAAAAAGAATTTCGGGAAATGTATATATATTTATTTTTTGAGAACCGTCTTAAGCCTCTTTAGATCCTTCTTATTTTTTTGTAGATTTTTATCACTATTGACTCTTTGATTTTAGTTTTCCAAGAAGAGTATCCATAAGTTTTGAATATGGTCCGGTGGCTGGACAAAAACTTGTTGCCTTAACTTTTAATTAAGCCAAGAGTTTGTGTAATGTATCTGGCCGTGCGTCCTTCTCATCCGAGAGAGTGTGTGTGCAAAATTAACAAATAAGCGTATAAATTATGCCACAACACGCTGACATCGCACACATTGGGGACAGAGCCGGGTATAGGCATGTCCTGCGGCAACCGAGACCAGGACCTGGAACTGGGAAATATGAGCACCAACTGTCGGCACTGGCGTCACTGGACGGGCGACATTAGCAGCCTTCCTGCCATTTGCCGTCATCATTGTCATCGATGGAGCTCAGATGGTGGACAGAGGGGTGGCTAGGACAATGGTGGCCAATAGTCCATATTTCAGTTCGCTTCGAATTACATTGCCTTTAAAGCGCACTGCCCTGAATGGTGTGTTTGATGCTCCTGGCCAAACATGACACTCTCAAGCTGCCGAAAACCCTATAGTTCGAAGCTTACCACTTTACTTGGCCTGGTTAAAATGAATTATTTTTTTTTTTTAAACCCTAGAACATAGACCCCATGGACAAAGCTTGTCGGAGAGCGGTAAGCTACAGTTTCTTGGCCGGGAATGCGAAACCACCAGCTTTATTGTTTGTGCTTGCCTGGACGTAATGCCGCGGAACTGCCCATCATCCGATTGGGCGTAAAGATTTTATGATCTTGGCTAAAAATGTGGTTGCATGTCCAAAAGTAGGCATTCTTTTGTCCGAAACAACCCACACTTTCGCCACATTTCCCGGCTGTCGTAAAAATGAAGAAGGAAAATTGCAATAAACTGACCTAAAGGGCAGAAATTATTTTGTGAACACAGACAATAAACCTTTTCGAGGAATATATAATTAATTTAAAAGTAAACAAAAAAGATGCAAGCAGGTCCGGTGAATTTATTGGATAGCTCCTCCATAAGTTGACCTTAAATGTGGATGAAAATATGGAAATTGGCTCGGAATGAAACATAACCGAATGTCAAACAGTCGAAACCTTTCAACTGGCTTACATGCCAATTATTCTCGTTTCTCCACCTCGACGTGGGCCCCTCAGCATGCACTTTGATGCCTCAACGTGTTTCTTATTCATAATTTACGAGCCGAAATGTTTCATTTCATGTTTTATGGGAAATAAATTATGACCCCGCCCCCCAAGGTTGCCGTTGCCCATTGACAACGTCAGCCGGGGTAGCCCGGCTAAGCCGGCGATAAGAACTTTCCCTCCAAAAAAAAAGAGCCACAGGAATAAAAAAAAAACGGAAAAATTCCAGACAAGAAAAATGCCAAAATAATGGAAGAAGAACTGCAAACGGATGGAGGGAAATTTATGTGCGCTTATTGATTGCCAAACGGGAGAAATACGGTAAAGGATGAAAACTTGTCCAGAAACCGAGAAGGCAATTTTATGTAAATTTCACTTTGGTCCTCAAAAAGCGACTTTTATGAAGACAAAGTGCAGCTGGGTCGGGCTTGAAGGGATTCGATTTTGGCGACGTCTTTGTCCTGCAGTCAATGGGCCCTAAAAGAAAAATAGTGAGGCATCCTTAAAGTGACCAGAAACTTGAATGAAATCCTTTCCAGTTGATGGCCCACCGGCTTAGGCAGTAACTTTAACGCCACATGTGGGCACACACACAACCTCCGGCCCGTCCATCTACGTACATATGTGGGTCATTTATATGCAAAGCATAACCATGGCTCCTCAATATGGTGAGTCTAATAAGCCAGAGAAGAGCAAGAAGCTGCAAACTGGAGATCCGCATCCAGATCTAGATCCAAGGACCCCGTCACAGGCACGTATCCCGTCCCCAATTCCGAATGCACAACCCAGGTAGGTAGTCTGGACTATAATTTGGTCTCGTATCGAACTCCAGCAGCAGCAGCTGCTGCTATAAATATAATTTCAATAGAAAAGTTGCCAATATAAGTGCCAAGCATTGTTCGTGCCACGGAGGACCCACTCGAACTTGAAGTAATTGTATACAGGACTAGTGGGAGTGGGAGCCCCCCCAACCTCCTATAGTGCCAATAACTGCGACACACTTAATTCTTCGACAGTTCTCTACTTCTTTAGTTTCCGAAATGGCTGTTAACTTTCTTGTGGATTGTTTAAGGTTACTTTACACTTGTAACTAAAATAAATTGATTTCTTTTTTATTAGTTTTGTCAGTAGATTATTATTTTTGACCTTTTGGAGTTGAAAGAGTTCAACGAACCAAGCAAGTCATTGAATATGTGCTCAGGAAAACTTTTGCATTTCATTGTAACAAAAAGAACTAGAGATCCATTAGGAATTTCCTAAACTCATAAATCTTTATCTAAAAGGAACAGCACACAGTTGGATGGCATTTTATTGTATGGATAAGTCAATTATGAATATTTTAAAATATTAAACAAACTTTCCAAGAAATGTATAAAATGAAATGGTCCCTTGTCGATTCAGTGGCTCGAAGCTCATTCATTAAAAGTGTGCCTCTGTAGATTTTTAAATTAAATGCCAAAAATAAATTGGATGGATGAGATGAATATGTACATGAAACATATGTTGATATACTCATATAGGTTTATATATACAACATACATATAGCGATGGAATCACAGCAAAGGTCAGCGTCAACCAACTGAGCAACTGCTAGCTAAAAATAAAATTGTAGGGAATTAGGAAATAAAAAACAAATTTAATAAGAATAAGATAAGTTCATGTTTTTGTCATTTTGTGATATTTAAAATAAAAAAAAATGAAGAAAAAAAAGTAAAGACTGGCAAAGGGAAGCCGAAAGGCAGGTAAATATTAAGTGAGAATTATGCGGAAGTCTGGCGGAGAATGTGTGTGCAAATAGTGGGCTGTCTGGATATATCCACACACATGCAAATTGGCGTTGTGATTTGGTGAGAGTTTTTTTCTTCCAAACGGTACCTGGCATATGGGGCGTATGCGCAACGAGGATTTACTTTACAATGTCAACAGACTGAGTGTTCGTCTGCCTTTCCTGCACATACATACATATCCAAAAACATACATCCATATTTATATATACATACATACATACATGTTTAGGTGAAGATGCCTGCAAAGTAAATAAAAATTCATGAAAGCAGCGCTTGAATATGTTACACAAATTTCCCCTAAGAGGATGAGGCTCAGCAGGCTAAAAATAAGGATGAGATGTCTCAGGTAGAAAGTTGCCATTGTTTATGGTAATCGGCTAAAGGGGCAAAAATGTGGAGGGTAAGCGGCCACTATTCACTTTCCATGTTGCTGTCGCAAAAAAAAAAAAATATATATAAAAATGTGTCAGGTGAGGTGCTTAAAAAGTATAAAGCTCTGGAGGCGGACAAGGTGGAGCAGGACTCCAAAGGAGTCTCGCCCCAAAGTGGAAAGTACGCCACACGAGTTGCCTTTAATAAATAAATCGCAGATGCATCAGTTGACACATCCCCAGAAGCCTGTTCACGATGCCCTTGGCTGCTTGTGATTTCCTGTGGAACTTTCCGGCGACAGATAACACAACAAATAAAAGTCCTTAAGATGGAGTTTAGACTTAGGGATACCCGACATTTATGAGTCTTTTTTGATGGAAGATCAGGCTATATAGACTATTCATTTTTTAATAGAATTTTTTTGTTCTAAGTATTTAGTTGTTTTCTAATTTTAAGATAGAATTTATAAATAGGGTACAAATAAAGTTAGGGTAGAGTTCAGGATGCAGGATAATGGTGAAAATTGAATTATAAAAATGTATAGCTTATCCCCTGGTATATCGGTTTAGTATTTTAAAATCCGCACCAACCGAGAAATTATTTTGTATGGCTTATTTTTTGTATTTTGATAAGCTTAAGTATAATATACTTTTATTTCTAAGCTGTGTAAGCCTCTCTTGAGTAACTTGATTAAATAATAGTTCTAAGAAAATAACTTTTGACTCGAAATACCTTAACATGACATCAGAAATTATTTTTCTGGAGATTTATTAAGTTCACTTTTAGCGAATTCCATGGCTGGAGCCTTATTTAAACGCAACTGAGCTTGCCACTCATTGCTGGCGAGCGTATAATTGGCAGACTTCACTCGGAAAGCCGGAAAACTCACTCAATGCTGGCCATTGAGTGGCCCACAGAGCGTATACGCAATGTGCATCGGCTGCCGAACGGCGACCCGAACCGCCCACGATGGCTTATCAGCAGCTAACCTGTTGGTCGGCGTAGACGCCGGCAGCGCTGCCTCCGAGCCCGGAGCCGAAGCAGCGACGTTCAGTTTCCTGTGATTCTTCGTTGGCGGCGGACGCGCTTGTCGGCATCGTCAAGATTTCCCACAGATCTCGAAGAGACGTAGCCGTATTGAGAAAATTGTCTTTTCTTCGAGCGCCTCGAGCGGAGAGTATTGTCATTGTGTCGCGGATGTTCAGTAGCTTGGGCGTTGAGGGGAAACCAAACAAGTGCCGGAACGTGCTCGAGTGGTTCCTCCATCCTTGCGGTTTTTTTGGTGAGCCGGTCACCTCCATCCCCAGCCTCATACCACACCCACCACACCCTTTCCGGTCATATTTGTACCTTCCCCGTCTATTATTCGCAGTGTTGACACGTCGACGGTCGGCAGTTTTCGCTTTTATTTATATATTCTCTTGTTTTCACTTTTTTTTTTGTACCGCCGCGGTTAGCCGGTCCCAGAAAACTTTTCGACTTTTCCGCTCTTGTTTAATGCCCAGCGATAATATTTAACTGGCTGGGAGTGAGAGTTGTAATTTAACTGCCAGCAAATAAACTTGAAATTAAATCAATTTGCCAAAGGAACGCGGTCCCCAGTGAGCGGTGAGTGGTGAGTGGTGTTTAAAAATTAAGAAAAAAAAACCCGCCCGGCGCAAAAAAAATAAATGTATTTGATAATAAGTTTGACATGGTTTTGGGGCACAGCAGTATATCTCCGAGTATATTCATTACGTTCCGAACAAATTGAATTCCAGTCAACTTTTCTTGCGGCCTTTTCGTGCGCCCCGTCTCTTTTTGCCACAAAGAAAAGTTTTATTTCCCGGCCAAAAGACAAGGGGATGGCGGGACGGGGGGCTGGACCGAAAACAGCATTCAACTTTTATTTTGTTTTTTTGCGACAAAACAAATAAGTAAGCCAAAAAAAAAAAGAAAAATAAAATAAAAATAAATACCAAAGAAAAGTACGAGAAAGAAAAGAGTGATTCTGGGCCAGAGATAACATTAAGAAAAACCCAATTGCATTTAAAAGTAAAGGAAAGTATTGGATGGGGAGACACGTACACTGTTTACACTTTATGGCCAAATCAAATGGCTGAGCCGTGACTGTTCCTTAATTAAAAATGCAAATTTCCACTTTAATTTTAATGCGGCTCCCCCTCCTGAATTGAAGTCTGAGGGCTGGGAGGAAGGGAGAGAAGCTTCGCTCGATTGATTCTAATTGATAACCCCTGACCCGGCTGCCAGTCATCCATCCATCAACTGGTGATTCGATCAACAAAATGCATTGATTGCTTTTGTCCAGCAAGGCCCTTTGCTAATGACTCTACTGCTCAGGTGGGAATTGGTCCGGCCCACCCGGCGTATACGTAATGTTAATCGTTATTATCGGAGCAACCAGCCTGCATAACTAAGTAGAGATGATTGATGGTTGGCTTTGAATTGGATGTTTGTATTAATATAATTTCATTCGATTATCCAGCTGGTTCTCATAGTTTGTGCACTTATTTGCCCTAATATGAGTTTCAAGCGGCGTATACGTGATGTGTTTGTACATGGAAAAGATTTCAGAAGCCTGAGGGAATGCAGATAGTCGCCGTTCTCCGAGAATGAAGGAGCCAGTGAGAAAGAGACATGGACGGCTAAAAGGAAAACGCATTTCAATTTGCATACCAGACCGTGCCAGAGAACGCTGATGGCCCGAGGAAATGGTCTTCAAGGCAATTTCAGGTCGCCAAAATTTCGCAATTGGGGCGAAAATGGCCAAGATGGCCAAGATGGTTTGGCTTGGCTGTCATCAGTCGATTAAGATGGTTTCTCATCGCACGCTCTGCTCTATCGTTCTCCAGCCATTTGCATTTAAATCACTTTGAGGCAGAAAGTGGTTACGAATTGTCGCCGCAGGCGGCCACCTGGCTGCACTTTTTTTCCAGATACTATGTACCCAGTACTCTTAAATATTCTATAGAATATAAATACTTGTTTATTTTTTTCCCATAGGGGTATCATAGCCTTGTTGAATTTTTTCTGATTGAATTTCACCGAAAAAATATTGTTTATGGATAAATATGGATGGTACTATGAATAAACAAATGATTTGCATATAAAAATATATATTCAATAAAAAAGCTATTATAAGAAAAGAATGCAGTATTTATTTTTTATTTAAGGGTATACCAGAGTCGCACATATATCACTTCCTCTACAACCAGTATTTATTTTGCCCAACTGCTGTTTTTATAGCGTTTGCCATTTTTATTGGTTACTAAGTTTTGCATAAATTATGCAGAAGACTGCTGTTGCACGGGAGGATATATGTATGTATTTATAGAGGAATACCTACATGTATGTAGAGGTGTGTGTTTATGAGTGAAATGGCTTGATAAGAAATGTGAAAAGGATAGAGGTAGAGGTAGAGGAATGGGGCTGGAATTCCGCCAGCTGCTTGAATTTATTTGATTTCTCACAGTCGCAAGTCACAGGTGACATTTTTACGGCCAATCTGAGCGATGGAGGTCCCAGACTCGAGGACTTCTCAGCCCAGCAAAACAACAATCTTTGGTTATGGAGGAGCTGAGGAGCCGAGGAGCTAGGGAACTCTGGCCACGACACGACCATAAAACGATTGCCGTTCTCAAGGACGGCATTTGCCGTTGCCGTTACCGTTGCCATTGACATTGCCTTTGACTTGCTCTTTGGTCTGATTGTGGTATCCCTTTTGGCAGAGTGGTAGCCCAGCCCGAATGCCACAATGTAATCTGAGGGCTCAGAGGGTGGGCTGCCATCCGCTGCCATCTGCTATTCCTATTGACAGTCAGTCAGACGTTTGTGGCTAGGATTTTCAAATTTCTCCAGAGACCCACTGGCAACGGGGCAACGGGGCCCTACTCGACGTTGCCTTTCAATTTACCTTCATATCCTCATGGTTATGATTTCGGCCTGTGCAGCTTGCTCACTTAACTTTTGTCAATAATTCAGTGTCCACTGGGGAAACCCGCAAACACTCTCACACTCGGATAGACAGAAGGGTGTGGCGGCGTCCTAATGCAGGCCAAAAAATTAATTGCTTTTCAATTAAAGGACGGACGGACTAGGGAGGCCGACAAAAAAAAATCACTTGCCCGTTGGTTTCATGGACTCGGTACTAGGATACCGCAACTGGGGGTCCGGGGATTTGGTCTGAAGCGAAGGCCAGTCTAAGGCCCATACCCTACGGCCAAAGGCGTAATTAATTCTCTATTCACCATCAAGTCCTTTGGGTTATGCCTGGGCTTAAGTTTTAAAAAGAAATGCCAGTGACAGTCGGCAATAGAATTCAAATGGTATTTAAATGTAAGCTGATATTTTCATATCAAATAAGTGGACTTTGAGAATAAACATATTAAATATTTAGAAAGTTCCAAGGGGTCAGCTGGAGAGCTGGGAAAACAAGAGCTCAAGCTGGACATCATCAAAGTGAATTTGATATTTTGCAAGTTAATAGAGTGTAAAGTTTCCAACATACAATGATGTCTAAATAATTCATGAAAAAACCCCTCATTTAAATATAAATGTATAAGAATGGGCGGATTCCTTGCCAAAGTTGCCAAAGAACTTTTTTGCTTTGTCATTTTCCCAACATAACCTATTTAGAATAATCTCTTACAGGAAAAACTTTTACCGACCCCCCCCACCAAAAAAAAAAAAGAATGCTTACATTTTGGCGCATAGTGGAAGAGTATTTATCGATTCATTATCATATCGCTATCAACTGGCCAGGGCCTGGGCCATCATCATCGTAATCATCATGATGTGGTCGTCGTTGTGGGCCACGCAAAATCCAAACCCCCATCTCTGAAACCCCCCATAACCTATTGCCGAACCTCCGCCGTATCGTGTCGGACAGACCGCGGCCGCACCGCGGTTCAAATATCATTAAAATGCAAAAATTGACGAGCTACGTGGAGGAGCCAAAGTAGAAGGTTGAAAGTGGGCGGCTAAGTGGGGTGTGCCAGTGGGCGGTTTATCCTCAATCCTGGTATAGAGACTTGTAGATAATAAGTGGATGGTGAGTGGTGGGTGGTCGGTGGCCAGTGGCTCTCGGCCATGAAGTGAACGTTTAATTAATTTCGTTTGTAGTCTTGGTACGTTGATTAAAACGCCATTTACAACATTTTGCCTGCATTTAAGCCAAAGCTAAGTGAGTTGCTTATTAATTTGCATAGACCAGGCCAAAGTGCCCCTCCATCTCTCTGGTCCTTTGGGTTGCAGTTCTCTGCTTTTATTTTTGTATTTTTCCAAAATGAACATATTGCAGACATAAATCTGCATAATGATAAATGGAAATTAAGACAGAACCAGAGCCAGAGCAGAAGGCCGAGCCGGATCTGGAGCTGAAGATGGGGGGGTAATCCTGTTGAAGGTCGAACGAAAAGCGGATAAAAAGTGATACCAGGCCAGGATAACTTAATCGCTGGGAAACAGCTGCCAAGAAAAAGGTCAAGTTCTCAATTCGTTCGAGTTGATTTTAGATTCTAGTTCGATGAGGGTATGTATGCTTAATAGATTAATTTTGGCAGATATTTTTAGAAATTACAATTATGACTTTGAAATCTTAGCTTACAGATCTAAAAATAAATATAATTACTAACAATTTTTGAGAAATCACTTACCCAAATGAACTTTAAACATTTAGTATGCTGTCTTGAACGTTTTCAACAAGTAAATAAATTCCATAAATAATTTAGAGATGATATATGTACTGCTACGGGTACTGGCACCAAAAAGTAAACAATATTTCTTTTTTTTTATTTTAGCATACAACCCCGAACATAAAATTCTTGAGCTTTTCCCTAGTCGCTATAAAAGATTTATGCCTCCACGGTTCGGTATAATTTATAATTTAGATGATTTTTTGCGATACTCGTTCTGTTCCCGCACACATCTGCTTATGCTGTCCAAACTTGAGGTTGTCCCTTAACAAGGACGCCTCTTGTGTTGGCCTTATTAAAGAAAATATTCAGGTTCAGTTGGCCAGAATGACGGCGAATTGTTTTGGGTTTGGGTTTTGGGTTGGGGGATTCGGGAGCGTTGCCTGCCAAATGACCGTATTTCCCTCATTATGACTGACGACGGGTGAAGACATTTTCACAGTGCACTGCCTTCTGATAAGGACTGCGATAAAGACAATAGCATAAAGGATTGCCTTATCTCAGCGGGAGGCGTCAGGCTACAGGCGTGGCAGGACAACAAGCCCCTGGAAAGGCACTTAGCCGGCTGAGATTGTCCTTCTAGAGCTGAATTTATGAAGCCATTGCCTCCTGCTTGGCCGCAAACAATCGATTGCAAGGGAAGCTGCAGTAAATGGTCAATTAATTATGGTCAGTGCCCCTTGAACTAGCCGCGAACACACTCACACACGCTCGCAAGCACTCACCCACACATGGGAAAACACAAAGTGCAGCCCTTGAGGGCGCCCTGGGGTATGCAATAGAACTTGGAAGAGGATTCTTAACACGTTACAGACTAGCAGGTCGAAAAAAAGACAATAAAAATAATATTACATTAAGATTAAAAGCTTACTAGTTTTAATTAGTTTATCAAATATTTTTAGTTTAGTTACACCC